AAATGCAATTTGTTACATGGTAATTCTGAGTCATGATTTGGGGCAAAGTCCTTGCACTGAAATAGCAAAGGGTCAAGTCTGCTTAGATCCAAATAGGTTCCAAACCATCCAAACAGGATAGTCCATTTCCTGGAATTGATAATAACTAACTATGTGAGTTTGTGGGGCATCTAACCTCTCTAAATCCTGGATTTTCTCATCAGTGAAAGAAGAATAATAAAAATAACCTCCCCAATGGGTTTTTTCAAGGATTGTATTAGAGAATTCAAATAAAGTGCTATTGGAAGAGGTCGTCAAGAGGATGTGACCACCAGTTGACCCATGAGCTGGAACCCAGGCAATTAGAGGCTCCTTACCCCCTCTCCTGTCCTCGGAATATATGTTCTGCCCACCATCTCCACACTGACAGCTGTTCTGAGAGCACAGCACTGAGAGAGGAAGGCATTTCTGAGACATCTAGACAGTATACGTGACTGAACCCAGTGAAGGCCCCTCTATAAACTTTTAAGATTCTGGCAGGCAAGGGCAGAAATCTATTTGTCTTGTAGGCACCCATGACAAGACTTGTTCATACAAGCCACCTACCAATCTGGAATGTTCTGCCTCATTCTTTAGTCTCTCCTTGCTCTCCATGTATGGAAACCAGTGTGCAAATCAACAAGCACTTAGATGATTCCTGGCACACAGTTAACACTCGATCATGGAAGTTGGCACTGCTACCACTGCTAATGATGATGAAGATGATAATATTTTGCCCTCAGAAAGGAGAGAAGCTTAAAGGAGTGATATTTTAAACATTATTGGGGCAGGACTTTTAGCCACTGGGGACTTTCATCTCCCTTGAAAACATGCTGTATTGTCAGGTGCCGACTTTCCCTGAGTCACATTCTGATCTGCAGAGAAAATTGTCTATTCTGGATGCTGCTCAGGTATCTATGTTCATAAAGATGTAATTACTAAGTCTTCATCTGTTGGTGGTTTAAGCACCCAAGTCATTCTCTGTTTCCAGTAAATATAAGTCATTGAGACAGAAGTGGAGACTTCATTCTATTTCCATCAAAGAGCTTTGAAAGAAATCAACAGCCACCATGATTCTCTTCCTAGATACATGACCTCTCCTGCCACAGAAGACCCCACTGACTTTCTGGGAAATTGTGAATCCAGAGAGGTGTCTGTGAAAATTAGTCTGATCAAGGATCTCTTCTCCTTTCTCTTTTATAAATCAGCCAACGTGCACACCGTTGGGCTTTGTTTCATCACCTGTAATGGAAAGATGAAAAGAGATCCCACCTCACAGGATTATTGTAAAGATTACATATTCTAATACATGTAAGATGCTTTAAGTAGTGCCTGGGAAGAATAATTGCTCAACAAATGTCAGCTGTGGTATATCTTTTATTTTTATTTTTTATTTTATTTTTTTTTCAGTGTTCCAAAATTCATTGTTTATGCACCATACCCAGTGCTCCATGCAATACGTGCCCTCCTTAATACCTACCACCAGACCCACCTACCCTCTTCCCCTCCAAAACCCTCAGTTTGTTTCTCAGAGTCCACAGTGTCTCCTGGTTTGTCTCCCCCTCCAATTTCTTGATGCTACTGGTACCCTCACACCACATCCCCTTAGCCCACCTGATTTAAGCCGCAGCTACCAAAAGTAGCACTATGCATGTTCAGACTTCACCTCTGCTGGTAGAGTTGCGCCATAAGTTCATGCTACATTTCTGTTTTTCTATCCCATAACCTTCTCTGACAACATGGGAGCTTGTTCAGCTCCCAGTTTAGAGATGGAGGGGAGTTACTGTCCCCAGGAGCAACCTTCAAACAATAGGGCAGGAACTGGTGAATAAATCCTAAGCTTCTTTTCACTCAGGTGAAAGGTTTTCTGTTTGATTATCAGGAAATTCCACGGGAATTCACTCCCCTATTGTGGCTTCCTTGGGTTTTCTACACATGAGCTTCCCTCTCTCTTCTTAGATGTCATCCAAACATATTGTCAGATATTTGACAGTGACCCTCATATCCCACTTTACTCTTCTGAGTCTTCTTCAGGCAAAACATTCCCAACCTTCATCCTGTCTTCATGATACTGAACCCCTGATCAATCCCACCGTCTTCACATAGCTAAACAGTGCAGATCCAGACCCAGGTGATCTGGGGAATAGACGTGCATATACTTTCTTATCAGCTACTTTCACTTGCTCTCCTGTACTAATGGTTAATTAAAACTGAGAAGCCGGGGCGCCTGGGTGGCTCAGTCATTAAGCATCTGCCTTCGGCTCAGGTCATGATCCCAGGGTCCTGAGATCGAGCCCAGCATAGGGCTCTCTGCTCAGCAGGAAACCTGCTTCTCCCTCTCCTACTCCCCCTGCTTGGGTTCCCTCTCTCACTGTGTCTCTCTCTGTCGAATAAATAAAATCTTTAAAAAAAAAAAAAAAAACAAACAATAACTGAGAAGTCCTTTTCACATAAACACTCCCAATCATATCTCCAGTTTTTAAATCTTGCAAGTATTTTGACCCTAATAAAAATACACTTCTATTATTAAATTATTATTTTACTACATGTCTTACTATTAAATCCTTATCTAAAATGCTATTCTATTTCAAATAATATATCTTGAACATTTCATCAGAAGCTATTTCATTCTACTAACAATCCTATAAGGCAGTATTGCTAATTTATTCATTTGCTGATGGGATAACTGAGACTCACGGAGGTTAAATAAGTTCCTCATGGTTACTCAGCGAAGATGAGTCATGTTCAGGATGTGGACCCCAAGCCTGCACTAGAGTCCACACCCTTTATCCCTTCTACATCATCTCTCTGCACCAATCTCTTACACATCCCTTACTAGACACCATTCTATTTAATTAAACCTCCCCTGTCACAATAGAGAGATGCCTTTGACTCTTTAATTTGTTGTCCTATATATTGTGTATCTTCTCCAGCCTGGATCCTAGAGTGAGTACAGCACGGGACAGACCCTCCAGCTGGCCAATGATAAATCTGTAGTGTGAGTGAGAAATAAATCTTTACTGTTTTAAACGACGGAGATATCATCTCTTAGAGCAGCATAAACTGCCCTATCTTGACCAAGAGATTATTTTTGGATTTGACCTCTAGACCTCTTTAGTCTTAGTTTTATCATTCAATTTAAAAATAAAGGGGGAAATAACATTTGGTGAGCATCTCTTAAGTATAAGATGGTTTAATATAACTACTCTCATTTAATATTTTCAACAACCATATATGGTACCATACCTTGTAAAAATAATCCCAAACTCAGATATCTACCAAATCTACTGTTACCATAGTAATCCAAGCCATAATCCAAGCCATTATTATTTCTTTGACTATTACACCAGCCTCCTGCCTGTTAAAACTTCACCCTTCTTAATTCTGCTCAAAACTTTCCAAAGATTTCTCTCTGCAGTCTGAATCAGACTGAAACTCTATATTGTCCTAGAAAAATTTACATGATCTGGTCCCCGCCAGTCACTTCAAGCTAATCACTCATATCCTCCTGTCCACTCATTAAGTCTCATCTACATTTGTCTTCCTGACGTTTCTGAAATGCATCAGGCTTGTGACTGCCTCAGGACTTTTGCACTGGCTATTACTTTTGCTGTGAATGCACTTCCCTTAGCTCCATTATGACTGACTTTTCATCATTCAGACCTCAGCAAAAATAACATCTCCTGATGTAAGATTTCTTTGACCACCTTTGATAAAAGAACACCTTCAGCCTTACCTTTGTATCATCTCATACCTTTTTCCCTCACAACACAAATTATTATCTTTAATCATATTATTTTTTTAACTTTATTTTTTTTAAAGATTTTATTTATTTATTTGACAGACAGAGATCACAAGTAGGCAGAGAGGCAGGCAGAGAGAGAAGGGGGAAGCAGGCTCCCCACAGAGCAGAGAGCCTGATGCGGGGCTCGATCCCAGGACTCTGGGATCATGACCTGAGCCGAAGGCAGAGGCTTTAACCCACTGAGCCACCCAGGTGCCCCTTTAATCATATTATTAATTTACTAGTTTGCTTGTATATTTTCAGAATTCCCTATTGTAAGAAAAACACCAAGCGACAGAGATTTTTGTCTGGCTTATTCACTGATGCTTCTACAAAGCCTAGAACATTGCTGATACATGGTAAATCCTCAAGTACCATTTGTTGAACGAAATAGAGTGAATGAATCTACAATTTACAGATAAGGAAATGAGGCTGGCAGAGTTTGAATGACATTCCCAATGTCTTACAGGATTTCTAAGGGTGGGACTGATTCTAAACCCCAGTGCCTTTTAGGATAGCAAGGCACTGCCCAAAGACACTGAAGTGACAGACAGCAGGCAGGGCTAGATGATGTGCATGTGTTCTTCCAGGCTTTGGATTTTATTGTGGCTACAGTCGAACCGAAAGTCACATTGATCATGCTTTCCCCAGTAAGCCCTGAATTTCCAATGGAACAAGGTAACTTGAGAAATGTATTGATCTCCCTTTTTTGTCATGCTGTGCAGGTGACAAGGATCAATGGAAACTTGTACTTTCCTGCCCAAGACCCTGCAACTTTAATTTGCATTTCCACCCAGATTCCCAGGACTCTGCAAAATGCACTGCTCAAAATGCCCACAGCTTATTCAAGGTAGAGTATCACTGTCCGTGTCAGCTGTTTTCCCTGCTCCTTCCAATTCAGAGAAATGTCTCCCTCTCCTCTCCAGCTCCCTGCTTCTAAGCCAGCTCACAGACCCAGCCTTCCTCTTGCTGAGCATCTGACACACTCATTGGGCCACAGCTTGTGGAGGGGCGGGGTCTCTAGCTCTTCAAAAGGGATCCGGGGCTGAACAGCCCAACCTTACTGAAGTGCTCAAGCTCTCCCACCCTCTTTCCCCAGAGTCTGTGCTTTCCTGCCTGCTTTCTCTTTCTTTTCTGGCTCAGCCTGGGACACACGGACACACGCTGATATCAGAGGAGTCTCAGGTCTTGCATTTTAATGTCAGTGATGGAAAAACACAAGAATGATTCCTGGATCCACCAGCAGGAACGGGAAGACCCATCTGAGAAATACCTGAACAGCAGCGAGGACTATCTGGCCTTCCTCTACGGGCCTCCCCGCAGCCACTTCTTCTTCCCAGTGACTGCAGTGTATGCCCTGATTTTTATAGTGGGGGTCGTTGGCAATTTCCTGGTGTGCCTGGTGATTCTTCGGCACCAGAATATGAAGACACCCACCAACTACTACCTCTTCAGCTTGGCTGTCTCCGACCTCTTGGTCCTGCTCCTTGGGATGCCCCTGGAAGTCTACGAGATGTGGCGCAATTACCCCTTTCTGTTTGGGCTCGTGGGCTGCTACTTCAAGACGGCCCTCTTTGAGACGGTGTGCTTTGCCTCCATCCTCAGCGTCACCACCGTGAGCGTGGAGCGCTACGTGGCCATCCTCCACCCCTTCCGCGCCAAGATGAAGTGCACCCGGCGGCGGGCTCTCAGGATCCTCTGCATCGTCTGGGGCTTCTCTGTTCTCTTCTCTCTGCCTAACACCAGCATTCACGGCATCAAGGTCCACTACTTCCCCAATGGGTCCTTGGTCCCAGGCTCTGCCACCTGTGCAGTCATCAAGCCCATATGGATCTACAATTTCATCATCCAGGTCACTTCCTTCCTCTTCTACGTCCTCCCCATGATTGTCATCAGTGTCCTCTACTACCTCATGGGGCTCAAAGTGAGTATCCAAGCTCGCTGGCTTAGGATAGCATCCCTTCTCTCATTGACCCAAAGTTCAGAGGAAAAATTGAGAACTGGAAAAATTCAGAATTGGAAAGAGGTATAGAGAAAAATAGAATGAGCTTAGAGGGGAAGCAGAAGTTAAAGGACTAGCCTCAAAATTAGGCAAATCCTACCACAACTATAAACCATTTCTTTTAAGTCACCTTGCATTACTCTTCCTTTATGCCTGTGGCTTTCAAACCTAGGAGTTCCTACCAATCACCTAAAAATCTTACTCTGGGAATCAATGTGCAGATCCCTCCCCCTGGGAAATTCTGATTCAGTAGGTCTGAGGTGGAGCCTCGTTTTAAACCTTGCAAGGTGGCCACCCCTGGAGGGAACATTCCACAGCTTGTTGTCTCCAGCCCCCATACTGCCTGTATTGAAATTTTTCTCTGAACCAACTTGGTCAAAGTATAACATAAACCATCTCTTCCTGTCTTCTACTCTAAGACAGACTTACAGTTTTAAAGTCAGACTGTCCCTTATGGTTGCTTTTGACAAAGCTAAAATGCAAAAATATGGCTTGAGGGGGACCAACCTGGATTTCTCTTGACCAGGTGGAAATTGAGGGACAGGACGTGAACAGAGCACATTAGAGTAGAAGAAGATGGGAATAAATGACAGCTGAGATGAATAAAAAACTATCACTTAGTTTGCAATATACCTAATAATTAGAGGTTCCTGTACTCATGATGGTAAACTGATTTTCCCCCTTTTTTAGGATCTAAATTAGCTGAGAGAAACTACTTTTGGTGAGGTAGTAGTGCATCTATATAATTCCTCTCCTGGTATAGTCTGCATCCAGATTCATAGAGATGAAATCTAACTGTGACAACTTTATGCCCATTTAAGGAGACAGCTTGTGTAGGAAACAGTCTTGGGACAATTTAGAGTCCCAGGTCGAAAACTCACATAAAATACACTTTCGGGCAAGCCACACAATTCTCTCCTGGAGTTACTTTTCACATTTATAAAATGAAAAGTTCACATTAGATTATACCTAAGGCTCCTGATAGCGCTAACGGTCTGTGATAACTTAAAAAAAGGAATAAAATATCTGTGAGCAGGAGCAATGTGAATTATAAATGAAGGGAAAACAAAGCAAATATCACATTCACATCATCTGCTTCAAGATGGCTCTGCTACCATGTATTCTCTGACAATTAATGTACTCCCACCTCAGAAAAAGGTGAATGTCAGAAATGAGTGCCCCACAATGGTCCTTTTCCATATCTGCTGTGCCTAAGGTGAGCAGCAGAATCCAAGTAGGAAGAACAAGTTCCAAGAACCACAGATGTCTGGACAAAGGAGTAAATTTAATCAGTCAGAGAGTTTTGCCAATCTCCTCTTGGAGGGCTGGCCCCTCTACATTGAGAGACACATGCCACCCCAGACTAGCTTGCAGTGTCTTAGAATGCCCTGTGTATATCACTGGAGGAAAAGGACTTCTGCATGATTCCAAATATCAAGAGCCCTATGAGAAATCTCTACCCCAAACTGACCAATACCATTTTGTCCAACACCAAACAATCATTTATCTTGGGTTAATTTGGAAGAAGCATTTAACATTTAACTTGGAGTAGGAAAAACGCATCCCCTACCCCCAACCAATTACTTTGTGTTTCACTTTGTTTTATTGTCATGAACTTATAGCCACCTTTAATTAGGAGCTAAGGGACAGCTCAGAAAATAGCTTAGAAACTGCCTAGTTTGCTTTATGTGTATAGTGCAACAGATAAAATTCCTGTTCTCAGGAAGGATAAACTGTTACCAGAGGACACCAGGGAAGGAATTATCTGCTTAGTAAGTCACTGCTAGAAGAATTTAAAGATCTGTAGACTAAGAATCAGGAGAAATAGGTCCTAGTCTATGGCATTGGTCTCAGGGTCTTTGCACATGTTGTACCTTTTGCTATATCACTGCCTGAATTGTTCCTACTGTTGACCATCACAATCCCATTTGCTTTTCTAACTCTAACTTATCCTTTCAATCATACTTCATCCACACTTTCTTTGTGAAGCTCTGCCTGACTCTCTAGCTGCATCTGGTCCCTGTGTATGTGCTATGATTCCTGGTGATTTTCCTCACTGCATTTCTTACAACTTATAATTCTATATTTGTGGGTTCCTTAATTTGTTTTCTCCAACTAGACTGTAAGCTGAATGAATGAATTAATGAATGAATGAGTGAATGAAGTTAAATTATTTCATTCATTGCTGGACTTCAGCTTTTCAACCTTCGAAAGAGAATTAGAAACATTATTTTACAGAGCTTTTTGATCTAAGAGATTTAGAGACTAAATCTAAATTTAGAGATCTAAGAGACAAAGCAAATCTGATGATTATTAAGTTATTAGCTCCCTTGGCAAATCTAAAGTTATGATTGACTTTGACTTTGGCACTCACTGCCTTCAGAAGGCAAAAAAAAAAAAAAAAAAAAAAAGAAAGAAAGAAAGAAAGAAAGAAGGAAGAGAAAAAAAGGAAAAACAACAACAACAACAAAAAACTAAGCCTGATGAAACCTCAGGACCAAGAAGAAAGGGGTGGGGCATATATGTGCTCAAAGCTGAGCATTCAGGATATGAGTAGCCACTGAGATGCTCTCCAAGTTTAGAACATGTTAGAGATAGCAAACAGACAACCCCAGAACTTCCTTCTCTTTGAGAGGAAGTTCTTTTGGAGCTCTCATCTAGTAGTTGTAATTCTGCATGCAGCATTAACACTTGAATTGAGGAAGATGGATTATGAATTGCAGCAGAATCCAGCCATGCCAGACAGAATTGCACTCATTTTTTTTCCAAATAAACAGATTTCATTCAGATTGTAGAAATATTTACACAACAGCTAGGATTATATTTTGGTATTCTGAAGCTTAGTCTCCACACACCACATAACTGAACATCTGCTAGAATGATTATAATCATATGAACAACTGATTAGCATAATATATCAACCTGAGTCAGCCCCATTGACCTCGCCCCTCACCTTTTATCTTACACAGCTAAGGAGCGTGGGATAGGAAGGCCTCTGAGCTTCCTAAACAGTAACCACAATTTTTCACTCTTTTTGTATCTTCACTTTTTTAAAAAGAGATTTTATTTACTTATTTGACAGAGAGAGAGATCACAAGTAGGCAGAGAGAGAGGGGGAAGTAGTCTCCCCACTCAGCAGAGAGCCAATTCGGGGCTCGATCCCAGAACCCTGAGATCATGACCTGAGCTGAAGGCAGAGCTTAGCCCACTGAGCCACCCAAGTGCCCCTGTATCTTCACTTTTAAAGCTTTTTTATTTATTTATTTATTTATTTGACAGACAGAGATCACAAGTAGGCAGAGAGGCATGCGGGGGGTGGGGTGGGGAGAAGCAGGCTTCCCGCTGAGCAGAGGGCCCAACTCGGGGCTCATCCCAGGACCCTGGATCATGACCTGAGTCAAAGGCAGAGGCTTTAACCCACTGAGCCACCCAGGCGCCCCATATCTTCACTTTTAAAATGAAAGTTCAGAAGTGGGTAGAATACTTAGTGGTTGAATATCTATTTTGCTAAACATCTGAAGGGAAATAAAAGTGTCCAAACTTAAAGCAGTATTAAATGTTGGTTAGACCAATTGTTTGGATTCTATTCTACTACATTGCCTCCTTCAGATTCTGTTGAAATAATGTATATGATGCATAAATACTCAGTTTTTCACTCTTTCCCTCTGGCTAGTTGTATCACTAAAACCTACAGAAGCTGAAAGGTAAGCAATGATTAACACATTTATAATTTTCTTTTCATTGCAAACTACACTGTACAGAAAGCCTGTTCATGAAAGAACTGTATGAACTGTTCACTTTATGCTTGATTTAAGGGAATTGTTTCTTGAAGTAGAGAAATTACCAAAGAAAACTGTTAAACCCACCCACAGAAGGGACTAAGAGATCCCAGTAGTTTCTCATTGTTCTTAATTTTGGACTGAAATCAAATACTGGGAGAAGTATCTTACAACAATGACAAATTTTTAAAAATGGTATGAAACAACTGGAACCTTCAGTAGATTTAATTGACGATGAGTTAGTAAGATTTGCACTTTGATTTACTACTCTTACCTTAACAACAAGGCAGGGATTTTTGGTTTTGTCTTTGTTTTGTTTGTTTGTCTCTGCTCCTGGCTGCTTCTTTGTCTCAAACAAGTGCTGCTTATAGGTGAGCAGTGCCATGAGGAGAATTTCTGTAAGGGACTCAGTAATCCATGACTGGACACACAGACATAAATAAATAACCCTGTTTCATCAAAATTCAGTTTTTATGATGTCTTTCAAGTAAGAGGACAAAAATCAGAATAACAACAGTAATATATAACTTACCGAGTATCACGTGCCAGACACTGAGATGCGTGCTCTACCCATATTATTTTGTTTCACCATTAAGTTTATAACCTCTTATCTTCAGTTTCCTCCCATCTATTCCTAATAACTGCACAGTATTTTCCCTTCTTACTTTCCAAGTTCTAGGTGACTTCTGAAGGGTCAAATCTCACAGGAAATTCAATCCCTCACTTTGTGAAGATACAGGTGTGTGTTGAGAGCATCAATATATTCAGAGACAGATGGTCAGCTTTGTTAATCATCCAGGTGGATGCTTTAGGACCACATGAGTCCTGAAGCAGGTAGGACCATGAGCTACCTGATTTTTAGGAGCTTTTGTGTTTGTTAGAGACAGGATATTCCTTTGTTGAGTTTTGGAGGCAACTTTTAATGACCCTCCGGTCCACGTCTTATTTGATTTTAAATACCTTCTCTAAAGCATCCTGTAAAAATGCCATCCAGCCCAGGAAGCTCACTGATTAGAGAAGTTTGTTCTACTGTTGCACATAACCACACCAATCTCTCTCTCTCTCTCTCTTTTTTTTTTAATCTTGCAATAAACTGATCCTAATCTACCCAAGATTATATAGAGTAAGTTGAACTTTCCTTCCACCTAATGCCCTTGATCAGTGTTTCAGAACTTTCTACAGTGTTAAGGAAGGAACCCCAACTCAATCTGGCAACATATGATAGGAAGTATACACCTGAAAAGTTAAGAGGTAGAGCTGGCTTTTGATGAAGATTAATTCCATAAAACACACAATGTTCTCAAAGACCTAGCTTTATTTCTGTTTCTTTGCTCTTCTTTCTATACTGTTGATTTCAACCTCAAGATCGTCACAGTAGGCCATTGGTGGCTCCAAGCACTTCCCTCATGGTGGGGAAAAAATAGCTCTTGTATTCCAGAACTCACATGCAGAAAACAAGAAGGCTCCCAATGAAAGAGAATTAAAAGTTCCATTCCTAGAAGTACAAGCAAGCATCTGAAATCTCTTTGATTCCAATTATGCAGTCACTGTGATTGAAGGTTAGTAGTTACATTATTCAAGGACTGAACCTGGAGCTGGAGATGGGATCATTTCCATCTAAATTAACGACTAACAGTGCAGAAGGACTAAATTCTCTAAAGGAAAATCAGGGTACCACTAATAGGAGAAGAAGAGAATAAATGTTAGAGAATCAGTCACAACTATATACTATACTACCTTCTAGATACTTGATAGTAGTTTATCATGAGTCCTTAAAGCTTCCTTTCTCTGATCGTATATCTCCCCAAACTAAAAATATGTGAATTAAAGAGAAGAAAATTCTACAGCTAAGTGAATGATGCAGATCTTCAGTGCTATGGGAGTTCAGAGGAATGAGAGGAAAATGGGCTCCAGTGACCACCAGAGTCTTCTAGAGTAGATGGGACTTGAACAGGGTAGGGAAAATTGCATGCACAGGTAGTGTTAATATTTGAAATTTTAGAAACTTCTCCAAGGATCACCACATCTTACAACAGGATGAGTATTCTTTAACATCTAAACTCAGAAACATATGCACTCTTACCAGTAATATTAGTAACACAGATATTCCCAAATTGTGCTCTTCAAGATGTACTAGGTATTCCACTGAAAAGGACTGGGTCAGAGGGAATATTGTTGAGGCAAAGAAGCACTGTCTCCCTTGAAGCTGGGAGGGTGAGGAGATATGGGGTGTGGAAGGTGGGGATGGGGGAAGGGTTATACACAAACCTCCATGAAGATGTTCATAGTGTCCATCAAGCACATTAAAGGATCTGAGAGGACCCACAATAAAAACTATAAACTTTATGAAACAGAAATAATATCCATTTTTGTTTTCTACTGTCTACCTACTCTATAGCAGAGGATTCCATTCTAATAATCATTGAATGATGAATGAATGAATGAAAGAAAAAGACTACCTAACATTTTCAACTTTAGATGTCATACTTTTTATGGAATACCTATTAATATGCTACATAACTAGGGTTTTATAGAATAGCATGTGATACATGGTAGCTTTGTAATGTAGCCCCAACCACCGGTCCAGTTGAGTTAGATGACTTGAATCCAACTTCACCTCCAACTTAGTAAACGTTTGACAAATTCTTACAGTTCTTTAAGTCCCAGATTTTTGTCTGCAAAGTCAATGTTAGAGTTAACACTTCCAGGATCTGGTCAGAAGGAAACAATATTTCCTTCCCTCGGTATCTTTCTCCACTTCCCTTGCAGCTAAAGAAAGACCACCTCCTTGGGGCAGATGAAGTGGCTGCAAATATTCAAAGACCTTCCAGAAAATCTGTCACCAAAATGCTGTGTAAGTCTTCCACTTTTTTCGGGGCTTGGTTGGTTGGTTTGTGAAAGCAAAGGACATGGATTTTGTACTGAGAAAGTGTGGATGGGATCAGAATCAAAATACTCCTGAACCACAACATCGAAACCTTGGTTTTCTCAAGCTCCTAGGACCTGTCTGTCTTATTTCTATTTTAGTTTTTAACCCTCAAACAATACACAAAATTGCATCACTGGAATACACTCTGTGGGGTATTCAGTAAATCTCAATCTGTAAATCTTGCTCTCTGTGATTGTGAGCATTTCTTTTCCTCTCTAAAATGAGCAGGTGGGGGGTGGGCCTAGGTGGCTCAGTCAGTTTAGGGTCAGACACTTGGTTTTTGCTCTGGTCCTAAGACTGAGCCCTAGTCGGCTCTGTGCTCAGAAAGGATTCTCTCTCTCTCTCTCTTTCTCTCTCTCTCTCTCTGCCCCTCTGCCCCTCCCCTGCCTCTCTCTCCAAAATAAATAAATAAACCTTAAAAATAAAATAAAATGAGTAGGTGACTTTTAACCTATTTTGAGTTATGAGTTTTTTTAAAAAAAAAAACTATGATGAAAGCTGTGAACTCTACACTTAGAAAATGTGCAAATACACATGCACAAAACATTTTGCATCCATTTCAGGGGATCCTGTGCCTCCTGACACCCATCCTTGGACTCCCTGGGATCCCTTAATTCCACATTTAAGAACATCTGGCCAAGAGTAACTCTAAGCCATCAGCCTGCCTATAACATTGTATCATTTTATACAGTACAGTATACTCTTTCACATAGAGAAGATGTTTTAAAACCCAGGAACTGATCAACAGTCTCCCAAAAGAATGTTATAAATATATGATCCTACACTAGGGTATGAGAGATATTGATGAAAAAGGAGATTTATAATAAATTTCCCAAGTCAAAACCTAAGGTTTGGAAGAAACAAATCCTTCAGGCTAATATTCATATGAAGCACTCACTATAACTATGTGGAGTTTATGAACCAAAAAACTGTGAAGTCACTAAAGTTTATCTAATAGTCATCTTCCTGGAAATTGTTTAGCCCCTATTGGCATTTTAATTTCCCTATTGAGAAATCGCGAGTCTTCATTATCTCTCCCTCCCCTTTTTCCTTGATCAAAATCTGCTTTCACAAAAAGGCTTGAAGTGCACTCACATTCAAGTCACAGTGATAAAATATACAGTAAAGATTTTATTTGTCTTTGATGAGTAGAGTGTTCAATTTTAACAGTAACTACATTTTTTTTTAAAATTTATGTATTTATTCGAGAGAGAGAAAGAGAGCATGGTTGGGGGGAGGATGGAGGAGAGAGAAATAATCCAGAACAGACCCTGCTGAGCGATGAGGGGCTCAACCTCCTGACCCCAAGATCACGATATCACAACCTGAGCTGAAATCAAGAGCTGGACACTTAACTTGCTGACCCCACCGAGGGCCAACACTAATTAAATTTTTAACTAAAGGGAATAGCAGGCAGTATACTATTATTCCCTTAGGTAAAAATTTAATTAGTGTTTTTAGTTAAAGCAGATTAGGGACTTTTCCCTGGGGGGTAAATTCAGAAGATCTTTCAGATATTCTTGGAACTACACCACACAGACAGATCACTTACTCTGAATATGTTACTGCCAACAGGAAATATATGTACCATTTACTATGGAAACTTCAATTGTACTCACAAATTCAGAGAATTGTAAAATAAACACCCATGTATGTACCCATCACCCAGCTTCAATCATTATCAACTCATAGCTAATCTTGTTTCATCTATATTCCTATCTCTCCCTTAGCACCTACAAAATTGTTCTGAGGCAAATTCGAAGCATCATGTCTTGGGAAATAAAAGTATTTTATAACTTCAGAAGAGAAAAAAAAATATTTATATTGATGAAGACTGAATGCCCCAAAGAGAAACTATGGTAGCCCTAATACCTGCCTTGGGAGCTGAAAAAAAAAAAAAAAAAAAAAAAAAACTAGGAAATAGTATATTTCTGTGCATCTATAATTATTTCAAAAGAAAAAAGAAGAAATTAGAAGGAAATCTGTACTCTAAAAAGTTATACTATAATAGACTTATCCCCATCCCAATGAAAAGATGCTTGTAAAGCAATATTATGTTCATGATTCTTCCCTTTCTTTCTGTCCCTCCCACCCCTTACAGAATGACTGAATTCACAGAAGTTTCTAATTATTTCCAGAGGAACAAGATAAAACCATACAACATTTTACCACATCCTACATTAATAGTTTGTTGTTAATTTATGACTTTAAAAAACACCAGTTGCTTGAACCCAATCACTATATTTCTATCACCAGTTTACATGGTTCCAACAATCTTCTTGTAACATATTTTCCACAATATAATGTTTTCAGAACTTTGAATAAAGGCAATACTATTTTAAGTGTTCCAAATTAAACTTAAATTATACAAGAAATCTTGTACAATCATATGGAAAACTGATCCTAAATCCTATATGATTCATTCTCACGTGCAAATATTCTATGTAAAGGCTCCTTAAGATCTAGATGGTCAATTATAATGACAGCTTAAGAAAGATGGCAGGGGGACACCTGGGTGGCTTAGTGGGTTAAAGCCTCTGCCTTCAGCTCAGGTCATGATCTCAGGGTCCTGGGATGGAGCCCCGCATCAGACTCTCTGCTCGGCAGGGACCCTGCCTCCCCCTATCTCTCTGCCTGCCTCTCTGCCTACTTGTGATCTCTGTCAAATAAATAAAATCTTAAAAAAAAAAAGATTTATGAAAAAAAAAAAGAAAGAAAGAAAGATGGGGGGAGGAATGTTAGAAGGAATGGATGGACTCAGAGTGGGCATTGCATACCTATCCTTGCTTTGACTGTCTTATGCTCTCTCATTCATCATCCTTTTCCAGTTGTCTTGGTCTTAGTGTTTGCTCTCTGTTGGGCCCCATTCCACATTGACCGGCTCTTCTTCAGCTTTGTGGAGGAGTGGACTGAATCCCTGGCTGCTGCGTTCAATCTCATCCATGTGGTATCAGGTAACATTTTGGCTGGCTTGCTTACATCAGAAATGTTCCCATAACTGCAGCTGTTTCATCTTGCTTAGAGCAATTGGTTCCACTGCATATATTGTGATTATGGGGACCCACCATACAACAAAGAACACACTTGATTTTTATTTCATTCACATATTGATGAGGTATGTTATAAATCCAAAAGAAATATACCAGATCAGTATTTTAGATGCTACTTTATTGAAGACCTCAACTTTAAGCATGATGATTATAGCAGGGAAGTGGTCTAAGAGGTGATTCCTTTGTTTTGCTTCCAATGACCACATAATTGAAATGATTCTTATTAGTTAAACATCCATGTTTAATCCCTGAAATCTCATATTATCTTCAGCAAGTGTTAGATCCTCATGGAAACCAACCAAATGTTATTTACGAGGCATCAAGGTCTGCTTTTAGGCCACTGTAATGCTGCTTGGGAGCCATACCATGGAATTTGGTGGAAAGAGTGTTAGAAAGGTCATTAAGTCAGAGGACCTGGATTTACATTTCATTCCCATCAGAGTGATCTGAAGAATGAGGCCTCCTTCATGTCAAAGTTACCTCAACTATAAAATGGCAATAATGCCTGCTCTGTACAATCCATGGGCTGATGATGTAAGAAGTGAATGACATAATAGCTTTTTAAGCTGCATGATACTACATTATCTTTCTATAATTATCACAACAAGTAGATGTTATCATCACCATTTTACAGCTGAAAGTTCCAAAAAAAGAACTGCTTTGCCCAAAGTCACTTGGCTGGCAAACGGTAAAAACAGCATTCCAACCCAAGTCATCCAACTTCAAGTTCAGGGTTCTATACTCCAAAGTGGAGAAGAGAATGGTCACCCACGTCCTTCTTTCTCAGTTAGTGTGACTGTTAGGCAGACCACCTCGCTCCTCTACCTCGATGAGTCACTGGCTGGTTCTGTGGGCTCTTTAGATTACCAAAGACATCACCAGAGAGGAGAGAGAAGAGCAACTTGTGCGTGGGACACTCCATGTGTGCATAAAGCAAAGACCACAGTGTTCATAGGAGTATTGAATGCCATGTACATTATCTGTTTTCAATCACCGTCTCTTTTGTACTCAGCAGGCCTTGTGAACTGAACTGTTTATACCTGGACATTAGTACTTTCCTCCATGTTAAATTTAATTGTGAATTCTGGATGAAATCTCAAAAATATTTATAGCTCTTAGCTTATCTTTGTGGTTAAGCTGAGAAAAATGGAAGTGACAAAATAAATTGGAAAACTCCACGAGATCACATGAAACTTAACTAGTTGACTCTCCATCTCCAGATGCATGAAGACAACCATTTTAAGATTTCCAAATTATAGCATTTACATTAACATTTTCCTGTTAAAATGTCATCTCTCTCTTCCACATATTGCCAACCAGATGAAGTCTAAACCTCTTAAATGCTACTAAAAAAATGCCTACAACTTGCCTTTTAATCAAGTTATGTATTTCCATTCATAAACCACACATTTGTCAATCTAGTTAATTAGAGAATTCTTCACATTTTGCATTATTCCTGCATAATGTAACCATTCCTGCCTCTGCACATTTGCACAGGCTATGCCTTCTACCACAGAACTCTCTCCTCTCTTTCCCAATTATCTACTGCCTGCTTCAGGGGCTGGTTAGTATTCAGTCAGTAGCCACTATTAAATCCTTCATGACCATCATAGTCCTTGTGCTTATGCTATCATGTGAATTTCCACAGGATGACTGTTAGTATCATATATTTTGCTCTTAACAGATAGAGTTTGGTATTGTTCTTTTGTCAGCAGCTAAAGTTAGGCATAGATTTTGCCTCTATAATACTGTTCTAAGTCCTGGGAGAACAAAGTTTAAATCTACTACCTACTAACATGCCTCAAAGTTTCTGGAACAAAATAAGAATTTATTGAATGAATTAACAGTCCACAGCAATACTCTTCTTCTATATTCCTCCCTGTCCAGTTCTGTGCATAGGGCATATGGCACTCTGTAGGTCCTGAACTACATAAATGGGGACAACCATGACTATGTTGATGATAGTGCCTATTGCTTATTTTATATTCTTAGCCATTCTCAGTCCGTCTGTGGATGGCATCTCTACTTTACCTTCACAGTAATTCAGGGAGGTGGGTTAGGATGGTATTCCCATTCCCATTTCATGGAGAAAAGAACTGTAGTCTTCTAAGGTCACAGAACAAGCAAGAACCAAGATCAGAAACACAGTCCTCTACTTCTCAAACTTAGGCCCATCTTGGGCCTTGGGGGAAAAAATAGGATACAGCAAAAAGAGAAGTGTGTATACCAAGGAGGAAAATGGCAGTGTACAAAGCATTTGGTTGAGAAAACAAATGGCAATATAGAATTATTTAATAGTAAAGTTGGAAGATGGGAAGAGTCATCAAGGGGAAAGGCTAGGTAGGAAAGGGGCATTGGGGCATATTTTTTTGAAGAGACAGTTAGCATTATAAGAAATATCAGCAGGGACTGTGCCTTAACTGATTTACCATTCCTCTCTTACTTGCAGTTTCAAATTATAGATTTAAGCAAAGCTCCAATGAGATAAAAAACGTCTCTCTTTCCTCTGATACTTAAGCATCTCTCGTTAATACTTTGAGAACATGTTCTTTAATTAACAAGTGGGGATCAAAGGAAATTGCCAAGCATCTCAGAGAGATCTCATGCCAGCCTAAATTTTTCCAAGACTCTTTAATCTTTCTGTGTTTGATTCCTAAATACACAGGTGGTAGATCCATTCAGAGCATTTTGTATTCTCAATTAGAGTCTTGTATATATTATTACTTCCCAAAGAGAATTACTTCACAGGGATTCAAAGCTTTTGTTAAATATTTATGCTTTGCTCTATCATGCTTCTCACTCAGTTTCTCCTCAGTGTGTCTCTTTTTTTAATCTCCTGTGTTCCAGGTGTCTTCTTCTACCTGAGCTCAGCCGTCAACCCCATTATCTATAACGTACTCTCTCGCCGTTTCCGGGCAGCATTCTGGAACGTGATCTCTCCTTGCAAACAGGGGCACTCCCAGCACCACGTACAGGGGCCACCTGCCCAGCGGAACATCTTCCTGACAGAATGTCCCCTTGTGGACCTGACTGAAGATGCAGGTCCCCAGTTCCCTTGTCAGTTGTCAATCAGCAGCTCTCACCTCCCTACAACCCTCTGTACTGGACAGGTACCATAAAAGGAATGCTCAAAGAGTTGACATTCCTCTATGCTGCCTTACCATAGGGAAGGACATCTGTAATTTATGGCTCCTGTTGTGATAATAGGGAGGTTAAATGAGTCTTAAAATTTACATACCCATTTCTAATTTGGGTGGGTTCTCTTTTTTAGACAAACTTCTACTAAAACTGGATCTAAAACCTAGAACCTCCTGATTTTTAGTGACATTTCCATTATCCCAACTGACTCATGCCCCTTCACTAGTTCATGGAAAGAAAAAAATATATTATGACCAGTAAAGTGTGATACCTATACTTTGAGTAATTTTTACTTTGGGAAATAATTTATCCTGACTCATCCGCACTTGGAGTTAAGCTGTTAAACTCTCACAACCGATGGCCCCTGTGGGACATAAAAGGGAGACCTGTAGATGCTATGCTATTTTACATATTTGAGGGATCCATGTCAATGTTCTTCCACAGCAAAGTATTTATCCTACTGCCTCACATTTTGTCATTATAATGTAATTCATCAGTATTTTGAAGCCTGTTACTTGAAGAGTCCTGGTAATATGGGGATGCCTCTTAGAACTATTATTCCCTCCTTCCTGATCCTCAAGTCATTCTCAGTCATTCCACACCAGGAATGAGATCGGATCCAAGTTCTACTTAGAGAAGAAAGGGAAGAGGGAGAAGGCCATGGTGGAGGGTCAAAAGAGGCATAAAATGATCCAAACACAAACTTAGCTGTTTTCATAATTTGCTTTAGACATGGATTTCTAAAGTCTTACTCCATAAGCAGATAGAGGTATGGTCTACAATCTTGGGAAAAAACCCAGGTCAGATAGTAACTACTGGTTTCAAACCCATGATTTTACTTACAAAATCTTTCATTAACTATATAATAGTCTTCACACATATGAGAAAAATCAACTTTCCAGACTCATCTCCTATTATATCAGCACATGTAATGTATATTCTATTTAAAATGGATTACTTGCTCTTCTAATGCAAATACAACCCAGTTGTCCCAGCTGCACATATTTGCTTAGAAAATGCCCTCTTCATCTCCAGGCTCCAGGCTCTGTTGCTCTCCCACCCATCCTTCAATGTCCATCTCAGTGTGGTGCCGCCATAAAACCATGCTTGGTTTATTCAAATAGATGTGGTATCTGACCTCGCTGTCAGTCTCTCTCTTAAGCTTTTTCCTCACTCTGCTTTGTAGTTCAGGAATTTATATTCTTGTTTTGTCAGAATGTAAATTTGTCAAAGGCATGAAATATCTTGTGTTCATTTTTGCTGTTGCTGGAATCCTGGCAATATATCTGTCACGATGGTAGATGTTCAATAAATATGTGGTAAGTGAGTTGACTTCACATTCCAATGTACTGAGCCAAAGAACAGCTCCAGGTGGAACCATGTCAAGAGCCAAAAGACTAAGATTCTCTTTCTGAGGGGGATATCTGACCTTCAGTTGGCCGTTTAGCTGGTTGTGATTATAATAGCATGTCTGCAGTGCCTGTGGTACAAGAGGTTCTTCTCAGTCCCAGAATCTTATTGATGCTGAAACATTCAAGTTCCAGCTTTTAATCTCTGAATTTTTCCTAAATTGAATGAACCATCCTACTGATAAATGGGGGTTTTGGTCCCTGACATCATTATTTTCTAACTAAACAATCATCCTCAAAGTGATATTCTCTCTCTCTCTATATATATATATGTATGTATATAAAATATATAATTAAATATTATTTTATTTTTTAATATATTATTATAATTAATTAAAATTAAATATATAAATATATATAATATATAGTTAAATATTCTGATTTATTCAAGTTGGCTTATAATTAGCAAAGAGATTTATATATATATATAAAATATATATATAAATATATGTAAATATATAAAATATATATATAGAATCTCTTTGCTATATATAAATCTCTTTGCTATATATTTATATTAAATCTCTTATATATATATATATAAATATTTCTTTGCTAATTATAAGCCAACTTGAATGAATCAGAATCCTCCAGTAATATATATTTATATATATGTATATTTATATATGTGTGTGTGTATATGTATATATATATATATATATATATGTAAATCTCTTTGCTAATTATAAGCCAACTTGAATGAATCAGAATCCTCCAGTGGTAGTTTATGTTGATGAGAAGAATCCTCAGGTCATTTGAGAATTAAGTTGAAAAGACTCAGCAAAACAAAACCTCAGAAATGGAGGAGAAATTAATTTCTTTCTCACCTTTTAAAGGCATCCTCAAATGAAGATCTACTAAGGTCATCAGCCTTAACATCAACTCCTAGCGACCAGAATTAAATATGTTGCTATTGTAGGTAGATGGATAGACAAAGAAAAAACACTAAAATTGAAGCTAGTAATTTTGCTTTATTATAATTTTGCTTTGATTATAACTTTGATCTCTTTTTTTGTTTTCTCCTTATTTACCTTTTTTCTCTTCAAAATGTATATAAAAATTATCATTTATTCATTAATTATTTCTTTCAACCAATCACTTAGTACCCATTAGGCAAGGTGCATTATGCCAGGTTATGAATTTTCTGGCCTTGAGAGATGATTTTTTTTTTTTTGTGAAGTGTGCTACAAAATAAAAATACAAGTGCTATAAGACTATATAAAAAAGGTGTTTGGTCAAGTCATGGGCAATAGACTTAATTAATCCTAATATTTAAAAAGGGGAAAGAAAAAGAGTAAGTGTTGAGATTGTGGCTATATACATATCCATACACACAGGTATACACACACACACACACACACACACACACACACACACACACACACAACTTCCATTTCAAAATGAAAATTGAAATGTCCCAAGTCTTAGAGTTACCTGATATAATGATTCACACACAACTAGTAGGACAAAGAAAGGAACCAAAACTAAATTGCTCAATGCTACTCAGTAGTTGACCTCATCATGTCCTTGTGAATTCCTTAACATCTCTGCATTTTGGAATAATGACAGAAGAGGACAGGTAGTAAACATGACTAATAAAATGCTGGTAATTTAACTCTTTTGCAATTAAATAGTGACTTTTGAGCTCTCTGATAATTCATAAATTTAGTGAACTGAAGGAATGAGGTTCAGAATGTTGCTTGCCAAATTAATTGTCTAGCCTATAAAGAGAACGGAGATTCTTAATCTGAGAGCCATGAACAAGCGTAAGAAAGTCCAAGAATCTCCTGAAATTGTATTCGTAATTCTTTTTTTAAGGATTTTTAAAATTTATTTATTTGACAGAAAGGAAGACAGAGAGCAAGCACAAGCAGGAGGAGCGGCAAAGAGAGAGGGAGAAACAACTCCAACCTAGCAGAGAGCCCCATATAGGGCTTCATCCCGGGACCCTGGGATTATGACCTGAGCCAAAGGCAGATGCTCAACCAACTGAGCCACCCAGGCTCCTCTGTATGTACTTTTTTGTAGAGAAGGTTTATAGCTTTGATTAGTTCCTCAAAGTAGCCTATGGCTTAAATTATTATAATTACTATTGCAAAGTACCTTTAACAGTCTTACATAAAGACACTCTCTTAATGAATGAGTTATAGTTGAATGAAGGCATTGTAGGAGAATTTAAAAATTTCATTATTCCAACAGAAGAATCTAGTGTTTGTAAGTATTAGTGGTTCAGTGGTGTGCTGGTGCTAGCTCAGACTGGCTTGCAAAAGTTTATTATTACATATTTAGGAATTTTGAGAGTCTGCTGTTATATGATCAGTAACCTGAAATCAGCCACAGTGGGAATATTTACACCATAGAATTGACAAACATATTACCTCGGGGATCTTTTTCCCCCCCAGAGAGCCATCTTATCAGCACACTACTAACCATCTATATACTGGCCATCTGCCATCTTGCTGTCATATACATGATTTGTTTGTAGAATAGATGCCCAATAACACCATTATAATTACAGACCACTTAAAGTTGTGGTTAACTCATTGAAAAAAAATTGTCAATGAACCAGATTTTGACCCAGAGTTATGAGATAAAATAAGCTAAAGCATGCTAATTATAACATGAAAGCCTCATCAGCATTTTATAATTAACCTAGAATGGAGGAATTATCCTTGGATGCTGTCCATTAATATCAGTGCAGAAAACAGTAACAGCTCTCTCTACATGTTATCCTCCCTATACATCTGTTTTTAAATATCCCATAGGCCTCACTGTAAAAAGATGCAAGATTTCCAAATTCTCTCTACTTGGCTGGGGAGCTCTTTTTTTTTTTTTTTAAGAGAGAGCATATGCAAGTGAGTGAGGCCACATCAGCTGGGGAGGGGGAAGGGGGGCTAGTGGGGCAGAGGGAGAGAGAGAATCTTAAGCAGGCTCCATGCTGAGCGCATAGCCCCATGCAGGCAATCTCACAACACTTAGACCATGATCTGAGCTGAAATCAAGACTTGGATACTTAACCAACTGAGCCACCCAGGGGCCCCCACCTCATTTTTTTAAATATGTAGAAGTGTACCATGTTAACATTATAAGGAAGCTTGAGGTCATACTAATTTATGTAAGCCAAACAAATCTGAACAATCTGAACAATTCCTTCCCTTTTTTCATCCCCTTTAAATCATTAAATCACATTTGAACTCTACATTAGACATATGTATATGGTATACTTTGGAAACATTATCTAGGTAATGTCAATATTTGGAAGCTTCAACTAATCTCTACATGGCCTAGAAGTTATTGTTTATACTTAAATGATAACATTGCCAGTGAAATATATACATTGCAAAAAATGTATACTGTGAATTTAGTAGGCTAGAATGGTTAGACTGAGCTGGTAAACAAAATACTATTTAAAAAGAAAAGCAATTCTTTATTTTCAAAGACAAAAAATAATGAAAGTTAAGAAGCCTATGTTAATGCATAAGTAAGAATGATTTGTAAGTATATAGGTATTTTGAAATTAGGTCTTAATCAGGCTTGGGCGAAACTTGTTTTTTTCAATGTCCACACCAACAGAAGGAATATCTTTTTTTTTTTTTAATTTTTTATTTCTTTTCAGCGTAACAGTATTCATTGTTTTTGCACCACACCCCGTGCTCCATGCAATCAGTGCCCTCCCTAATACGCACTACCTGGTTCCCCCAACCTCTCACCCCCGCCCCTTCAAAACCCTCATATTGTTTTTCAGAGTCCACAGTCTCTCATGGTTCACCTCCCCCTCCAACTTCCCCAACTCACTTTTCATCTCCCCATGTCCTCCGTGTTATTTGTTACGCTCCACAA